TATTTACTTTCTTTCATTTCCCAGATTCTGGACTTAATCTATTGAACGGTTTTGATTTTGATTTTTATCTTTTTTGAATGGCGTGACACTGAAAACCAGCAATTGGCCAAGTTCTCTTTTTGGGTGTTTATGGACCGAGACGGAGTGGAGGTCCATAAACATGCAAAAAAAGAACGAGGCCAATATCCAGTCATTTTGACCGAAAAAGCTTGGTCAATAAAGGATTTATTATATGGGTTTTGGGGAAATTTTTCTTGCGGGACACGGCGGGTAGTCCCGAGCGGGCACGATAGCTCCATCTTGCCCGCTCGGGATTTACGAAAAGGTCGTTTAAGAACTTTCACTCAGATGTAGACGTTTTTTTTTCTCTCTCTCTTAAGTAGACATGGTACATGTAAGTATTGAAAGGAATGATGTATCGCTGTGGTGGCCAACAACTCTGGGCCGTGCCAATAACTCGTGTTCATTCAGATTAACTCCTATTTGACACCTATCTGTGCATCGTCTGAATGATTTAAAGTTGTTGTGCCTAAAAAACCGTACGCTCCCATGGTAAGAGGAAATGTGCCTGCGTAATCTGTAGTCCGCGGTGATACTACCTCATGTACAGAACATGAATTGAAACTTCAATTCGGTTTTTTTGTTTGTTTGTTTGTTTTTTGTTTTTTTGTTTTTTTGTTTTGTTTGTTTGTTTGTTTGTTTGTTTGTTTTTTCATTCACTTGGCGCAAATGACTGCGCACCGCGGTAGCAAGATCTGATGAGTAATATTTCATTGGACAAGTATTCTGAAGTTTAGCCAAGAGCTGTCACGCTTGATTTCTTGCTTGGGTAAAATCTTAAATTCCCTCATGCTAGCTAAAAACTTACTCAGTGAGTATTAGCGTATGTGAATTTTTGCGGCCATCAGTGCCCGTAAAATTGAGTTCCAAGATTTTCCTTTCTCCTACGCAACCGCTCTCCCTTCCCCGGCTCTCCCCCGTTTTACATTTACAACGGAGGGTAAGTTCTCGCGAAAAATAAGGAAGAAAATGCAGGGAAGGCCGCTTGGTTTGTCCACGTCAGTAAAATTCACAGAATTGAACTGGGATTTCTGACGCCGGGAATGATCTCAAAATAACTTTCAGAGAGATTATCTCACAAATAATGGCTATATGAGGGATTAACTATCTTACTCTTCATTCTCTCATGAAAAGGGAGATCAGTGGCGTTAAGGTCTGCAGCCTTTGTCGATGTACTGGGGTGGGAAGATTCTGTGGTATGGGAAATGTTCTCATGAAAAGACACAGTTTTGTGCCATTCTTACTACAATACAACTATATTCTAGAAAATATTAAAAGGTAACAGGAACTGTATCTTTTAAGACGGGAAATGAATGTGACACCATGTTTCAAAGGATACTGCCAATCCCTTATCACACCAGGTC